AGATAAAAGCAAACAACCCTGCCCCAACCTTAACTAGTTTTTTACATAGACTAGCAGAATATATCTTTCCTAGGGTAAAGTGCTTTTTGGCAAAAGAAAAAGCATTATATTTCAAATTGAAATTATAAACATACCTTATGTGGATAAATATATGTATATTTCCCTTTCTCTTCATATGAATTTAAGATCGATGTGTATTTATTTTTTAAATTACTAAGGACATTCCTGCTTACTATTAAGCAAAACCTCCATAGTATCTTTAAGGAAAAAATGTAACACTTAAAATTTTAGACTGTTGTTTGCAAGCTGCTGTCTTTATCAGCAGGGAGTCCCAGCCCTGACTTACTTGTTTTGTGGGAGCCATTCTGCTGTCCCAGTTCTGAAGAGTGGGGCTCTTGCCCTCCATGTGTCCTGTCCTGCTTGGCTATGCCATAAAAGTAGTAGGCCGGTGGCAGGATGGGGCTGGAGCTTTTATGTTCCTTCCCAACCCTCTGCCTGCAGCTCCACAGCTAACACGCCCCCTCTCAGCAGGTATTCTGCACCTTTGCTATCTGGTTGCTGTCTGTGCACAGCTCTAGGCCTTAGTTGTGTAGGCTATTAGGCCCCTGCAGATTGACATGCATTCCTGCTTACTACCTGCTATTTACAGGCCTCCATTCTGCCCAAAGTCAGCTTTCCTATTTTTTTTTTTTTTTTTAAGAAAAAAAGAGATCAGCCCTTTTGTCCAGCTAGTCTGACTCCCCCCCACCCCCCCTCCGCCTTTCACCTGGGCCTTTTCAGGCTGTAAGCTTGGGTCCTAATTGTTGAAGTTATTTTTGATTTTACCTCCCAGTCCTATGCTCCTAAAAATAAGACTCAGACTCAAAATAAATTTACAAATACATTGGCCATATAGCTAGGTTCTTCTCTAACTAGATCATAACTAAAAATAACCTATTTATTCTAATCTATATTCTGCCAACATGGCTGGTTACCTATGCTCAGGTACCATGGGTCTGTCTTGTTACATCGTCCTCAGTCTGTGCCTGACTCTATCCCAGAATTCTTTCTGTCCCTTCTTCTGTCCTACCTTCTACCCTTTCCTATAAGCAATAGGTTTTTTTTAATTAACAGGTGATAAATCCATACAATACACAAGATATTCTCTCTACAGTAAACTAATAAGATGCTTGATCCCAAAGGCAATAACTAGGTCATGCTTTCATATGACCATGGTACAACTCCCTTGTAAACAACATAATAATCTTTTCCTTTTTCCAGGATAAGATGCATAAACATATGTGAATAATGTCTATGCTTGTAACTTGAACACTGACACATAGAGTTAACAGTGACTTTAAATAGAATTTGAGGTCAGTACATCTTACGTGGCAAGCCAGTAAGAGGAAAGAAATCAAACTTATTTGATTTGTACATGGACATATTCAAAATAAGAAATCATACTTCCTTGTAACTTACATGGTCACAGCACACATGTATTTATGTCTTCAAGTATAGCTACTTTATGTTGTTTACCCTCTGTAGGCGTCTTGTCTGCTTGTGGTGTTTGGACTGTGTTTCTATAGTCTTTCACTGACATTAATCATAAGAGATAGTAATATGAAGAGATTACTAAGTGTTTCCCTATATGTAGGGTGTAACCTTTCTTACATCTATTGTGGAATACTACATAGTGTCTTGTGTTATTGTTGTTCTCCTATTCACTACTTCTATTTTTTCTTTATAACCCTTTAAAACTATAAAGATCATTCCTAGATTATGTGATTTAATGGCATGCCCTCCTCACCCCAGAAATAAAAGTTTAAACATATAAGGCTCAGTTACCTGAAGTTTCTTTGTGCACTTTGTGTGTTATCTTCCTGGTTACATATGCACATGTGCATTTGAGTGTGTAGGCTAGAGATTGACATTGAGTAGCTTCCTCAGTGTTGCTCTGCCTTTTGTTTTGGTTTGAGGCATGGTCTCTCACTGAACCTGGAGCTCATTGACTTGGCCCAATTGGCTAGTCAGTGAGTCTCAGGGAAGCCCTGTCCTGGTCTTCCTGGTTGTAGGATTTCATTCATGTGCCACCATGGTAGTTTACAAACATGGCTTCTGAGTATGGACTTCAGGTCCTCATGCTGTGATATGTCAAGTGCTTTATGTGCCAGTCTTCTCAAGTGCTCTGAGTGAGCATTGTATTGGAAAGAAAGAACACACGCTTAGCCAGAGTAAGCAAGAAGGGACTTTGGAACTTGTAAGGCATATGTAACTCCAACATAGCCTTCATCTTTCTACCTTACTTTGTGGGATGATAAAACATTTACAGTGAAGGTATTAGTTTCATCTGGAGCCAATGATTAAGAAAAAAAGGTCAGTGTCAGCATTATTTATTATATGCTGTTCTCTAGATGTTTGAAAAGTCATTTAGAAAAGGAAGGTAATTACACCTACTCTACTAAGTGAGAAAAAGTCACCTAATAATTTTTTTTAATTGCTCATCTGTCTGCATGGTAGCATTTGGAATGTGCAGGGATTTAGTATGAAATTGCACAGATTTGCTTAGGCACTGATAATTCTGTTGGCCTTCAAAGGGTTCTTATTATGAAGACCTTTACTCTTCCAGTACAAGAAGTTTCTTCTGTTGTTTTTTAAATTAATTAATTAGTTAATTAATTAACATCCCAAACACTGCTCCCTGTCCTGGTCTTTCCCTCACAGAGTCCCTTCCCTCATCCCCCCTTTTCCTCAGAGGATGCCCCCCTTTCCACAGTATTCCTCAACCCTGGCACATCAAACCTCTGCCAGATTATCCTCTCCCGCTGAGGCCAGAGAGGGAAGCCATGAAGACTGAGCTGCCCGTCTGCTACACACGTGCAAGGGCCTCGTGTGTACTCACCCATGTGTGTTGTTTGGTGACGCAGATTCTGAGAGCTCCCAGGGGTCCAGGTTTGTTGACTCTGTCGGTCTTCCTGAGGGGTTCCCATCTACTTCCCACAGGCCTTCAGTCCTTCCCCTCAGCTCTTCCGTACATGTCTCTGCCTCTGTCCAGTATTTGGCTATGGGAATCTGTGGCTTGTTCATTCTGGGTAGAACCTCTCAGAGGACAGTTATGCTAGTCTCCTGTCTGCAAGCATAACAGAGTACCATTAATAATGTCAGAGACTGGGGCTTGCCCATGGGATGGGTTCCGAATTGGGCCAGTTATTGTCTGGCCTTTCCTTCAGTCTTTGTTCCATCCCTGCATTTCTTTTAGACAGGACAAATTTTGAGTCGAAAGTTTTGTGGGTATGTTGGTGTCCCTATCACTCCACTGGGGGGGGGCGGGGGTCCTGCCTGACTATAGGGTATGGTCTCTTCAGATTCCATGTCCCCACTGTTAGACATCTCAGCTAAGGTCACCCATGTTGATTCCTGGGAGCCTCCCCTCTCCCGAGTCTCTGGGACTTCCTAGAGATCCCCCAGCCCTCTGCAGCTGCAGATTTCCATTCATTCACCTGGCCCTCTGGTCCTCTCTCCTATCTCTCCCTGTACCTGATTCTGCCTCCCCATTCCCATCTTCCTCCTCTCCCTACCAGGTCTCTCCCTCCCTCAGCCTCCTATGACTATTTTGTTTCCTCTTCTAAGTAGGTTCAAGCATCCTTGCTTGGGCCTTCCTTGTTTAAGTTCACTGGGCCCATGGGGTATATCATGGATATTCTGTACTTTATGGCTAATATCCACTTATCAGTGAGTACATACCTGCATGTCCTTTTGGGCTGGGTTACCTCACTCAGGATGATATTTTCTAGTTCCATCGATATATTGCAAAATTCATGATGTCCTCGTTTTTAATAGCTGAATAGTATTCCATTGTGTAAAAGAACCACAGCTTCTGTATCCATTATTGGGTTGAGGGGCATCTGGGTTGTTTCCAGCTTCTGGCTATTACGAAATAAAGCTGATATGAACACAGTGGCGTGCATGGCCTTGGGGTGTGGCGGGGCATCTTTTGGGTCTATGCCCAGGAGCTTCTTTTGTTAATTGCTTTTTCCTTTATACTGATTTTTAATTGTTGGAATTGAGTTTCTGTTTTTGTTTTTGTTTTTGTTTTGTTTTGTTTTTGTGACAGCATTTTGTGAATGGAGCCCAGGGTGCCGTTAAACTCTTGGTCCCCCTCCGTTTCAGTCCCCCGAGTACTGAGGTCACGGGTGAGCACGCCTGGATCATGATAGACTATTAGGTGAATGTTAGACGTCTGTACCTCTTGCTTTGCGTCTGCTACTTTGGAATCTTACTTATTAACGTGTCTGTGTACACATCACGTCCTATCTTACCAACCGTTACCTAGATCACCAGCTTCAGCTCCAACCCCAGCCTATCCCCTTCCCTTTCTTTATCTTTAATTTTTAATAACACATTGGTATTGCCTGATTTGACGTTAGGCTACTCATTTTATATCTGTATTTAATATTTTTTTATATTTGTTTATATATAGTATTCTTTTGAAAGGATGCCAAGTCTTTCAGTTCTAATCTATATGTGATTCATGAAATAAACTAGTTTTTCTTTACTCCATTGGCACAGACAGAACTCTGTCGTGACTCGGCATGGGAGATGAGATGCTTTTGGCTCTGTTCTCGTGAGGCAGGGTCTCGTGCAACCTCAGCAATACTTCCACTCAGCGTCCTGATGCTGGACAGCTGTGTTAGCTTAAATCTGCTTCTGGATAGTTCTTTTTGCTTGGGAGACTTTCCTTTTCCTTTAAAAATTTTATGGTCATTATTTTGTTGTGTGTGTTGGCTGCCATGTGAGTATTGGAAGTTGAACTCAGGTCCTCTGAAAGAACAGCAAGTTCTTTTAACCACTGAGCTGTCTCTACAGATTAATTCTTAAAACGAAACAAACAAAAAGAAACTTGTCAAAATCCATTTTTGTTGTTGAATTTTCCTGTAACCTTAGCATAAAATGATTTCCCCTTTCTACTGTAATTAGTGGTTTATTTTCTACTTACCTAATACATTCTAATGTTCTTTTTCTAGGGTTTCCAGATTTATAGCATGGCTAACCATTAATGGAAGGAAAAGCATAAGTCTTCTGTCGTCCATTATGGAGGCCGGTTTAGCAGACGGAGAACCCGACAGATCTTCGGTGAGTAGTTTGACAACAGTAAATAAGGACATGTCATCTACTGCATGGAGGGGCTTGATGCCAGCCAGACTTTATTCTAAAAGTTCATTGATAGCAACAGCTTGCTTATTTGGTTGGTTTTATTTATTTATTTATTTATTTATTTATTTATTCATTCATTCATTTATTCATTTATGTATTTATTTTTAGACAGGGTCTCACAATGTAGCTCTGGCAGGCTGTGAACTCACTGTGATAGATAGACCAGGCTGGACTTGAGTTCCCAGCTCTGACTACTCTGCCTCCCAAGTGCCACAAGCCTTGAAAATTTACTTCAAGTGTTTTAAAAATCCTCCTTAAACTCCCGTCTTGTTATGAGAGTTACAGGCTGTTTGGAGCCCGTTGGAGCAGAGCCCTGTCACATTTCTTGTATTTCTACTTCATGTCCTCTGACTCTCTTCTCTGCCATATTGTCTTAGACATTCTGATGTAATAGTTTGTATTTGCTTTTTCAAACCTCTTTTGGCTCTTAGTGAAACCTATGAGGACTTCAAATACCTCTAAATCTCAAGTCATGTGCAGCTCTGAGCAAGGAGAGTGAAGGAAACACTGAAGCTAATCAAGAATTAAAAGCAAGTGCACTGAATAGTGTGTGGAAATTTGAAGGTTTAATAGTGATCCTTCCTGAATTAGATTCTGAAATTAAAGTAAATGTGGCTAGCAGTAAAGTATATACTATCCCCATAATTTAAAACAAAAACTGTCACTGGCATAGGTGGATGATATGTCATAAAAATAACTTTGCTCCAGAGGAATCATTTTAACTCTTATGTTTGAATGATTCTATTAAATATTGATTGATAGAAGCTTTATTAGCAATGTTTCTCTTACCCAAAGTAAAGGTGTCCTCAGTGAAATGTAGTTAGGGTGTAGCTTGATGATTTACTTGTGTGTGTTTCTGAGTATAGTTTTTGGTGGTGGAATAATGGAACTGACATTCTACTACTAAGCTAATCACTCCTAGATTTTATTTGTCTGTTTGTTTAGAAAATTCCTTGTTAGAGCAAGGCAGGGACCAGCTTTCTGTCTTTAATTTACTATGGAAATGAGTTACTATTTTTTCAAGGTATTTGTAAACTTTAATTGAGCGAATGTTCTTTGTTCAGGCTCCAGTGTAAGAACAGTGTAATAATTAATAGCAACATGTAGTTTTGATATTTGGACTAACTTGATTCAAATCTGTTTTGAATTTTTGGTTCAGATTTGTTTTGGTTCTTTAAACATTAAAAAAAATGTTAAACTTTAAGAAATTACTTGTTAACAGAGAGTGCAATGAGGCTGGCTTACACAGGACATGGTAGCTGGCTCGAAATGGACAACTGACGGTAGGTTATTTTATCTTTGATTTCAGAAAAAGTTGACAATAAACCTTGTATTTAGCATATTATATTTACTTGACTATAACATCATCTTTAGGAAAGCTAATTCACTGTTCTTATGGCTGAAATGTGTTTGATGCCCTAGTGAAGATAAAAAAAACTTGTCGATCTTGGATCTTGGGATATAGAAGGGCTCAAGCCCAGTGTGCGTAGTACCACTCCCTGAGCAGGAGGTTCTGAGCTATCAAAGAAAGCTACCTAAGCATCAGCAGGAGGCCGCCAGCAAGCAGCATTTCCCCAGGGTTTCTACTGAGCTCCCTGGCTATGAATGACTTCTTTCCTTGACTTCCCTTAGGAACGGACAGTGAAAGTGTAAGCCAGATAACTCCTTCCCTTCTTAAATTGTCAGAGTCTTTAATCACAGCAACAGGAAGGAAATTTAAGAAGTAAATAAAACTTTAATTAATAGTATTAAATTCTGTACCAGAGTCTATATTAATGAAACCTCAGCTATTTTTTTTCTTTAAATTCTAAATTCTGTTCTTGAGAAGTTGGAACAAAGATGTTGGAAAAAGTAGGGGAAACTGTTTTGTTCCTGTTAATTATTTCTTCTGTGATATATTACAGTTTATTGTAGAGAGAATAATACTGATAATTCCAATATAAAGTACAGAAATATGACATTAAAACTGGTATTATGGTTCACTTTTGAGTTAACTATTTACAAAATAGCACCTTTGGACTTCATGCCCTGAGCCAGTTGACGTACAAAAGAAGTGGATGAGCGCGTGGAATCTGAGGATTTTTAGCTGGAAGTCTGAGCTGAGCTGGCTGTGTTGGTGTAGTCCTGTAATCTCAGTGCTCAGGAGGCTAATGCAGGAGAATCGTGGATTTGAAGGCAGCTTTAACTAGTGAGACCCTATCATAAGAAAAAGGAAAAAGTTCTGCCTTGGTGTGTTGTGGGTAATATATAAAAAGCTCTAGGGTTACAGTTTCCTTATGGATTATGTAATGATAATTGTAACATCTGTCTTCCAGAGTGATTTTGAGTATTAATAGAAATAAAGTCTTTGTATTGCTTATTGCATTGTTGCACACATTGTAAATATTCATTAAATAAAAGCTACTATTGGGGTTTTTGTTGTTGTTGTTGTTTTAGGATGGCTTTGACTTAAAAGAACTCTCTAAAGATCAATAAGAGAAGTCTGTGAAATCTATTTATATATATTGGATAGTTGTAAAGACTTTATGTTTTTAGCTTTTATTTATATGTATGGGTGTTTTGCCTCTATACATGGTGCTGTGGAGACCAGAGGTGGGCAGCAGATCTCCTGGAACTGGAGTTAAAGACAGTTGATAGCCACCAGGTAGGGGTTGGAAATGTAGCCCAGGTCTTCTGAAAGAGCAGCTAATTCTCATAACCACTGAGCCGTCTTTCTAACCTGGAAAAGCTTTCAGAGAATATGAATTGTAAACAGGAGAAGTAGGAGTAGGGAGGGCTCACTTGATTGAAAGTGAGCAGGACATTTCAGGATTTAACAGGAGGTGAGGATCACCAGGAACTGGGTGGTAAAGTTGAAAGTAAAGTGGAATGTACTAGGTTGGAAGTGAAGTGAGCAGTGTTTATGTGGAAAGTGTGTCCACAGCAGATTAAAGACCAGGCGTTACAGAGTGATGCCCGACAAGGGTGCTTGGACTCGATGTGCAGATGATGGTAATCCCGTAATGTTTTTACTCAGTGGCTGGAATGAGTTTGGGAACAGGGTGTGAAATGATCTGGAGACCGAGGATTCTGAAGCCGTGGAGTCCTGAGCTGCTGTCAGGCATCTTTCTGCCTTGCTCTCCGCCTTATTTTCTGAGTCTTTCATGTTGGCTAGACTGGCAGCTAGCAAGTGTACAGAATCCCTGTCTCCACGACCAGGCACTGGGGTTATGGATGTGTGCTGCTGTGCTTAGCTTTTACGTGGATGCTGCGGAATTGAACTCTGGCCCTTATGCCTACACAGCAAGCACTTCACCCATTGAACCATTGGGGAAGAAAGTAAAACATGGCTATTTTACAGTTTGCTTCCCAGTCCCTGTTTCTTGAATCAGAATTGGTAGAGGATTGCTTAGCGATAAGATTTCTGTTTTCTTTCCACAAACACTTTATAGATGGTTTTGTGTATCACCACTAGGAGACCACAGGATTGTTTTTCCTGTGGAAATAGGAGTCACTGATGATCATTGCCCACATCTGTTAACTCAGCTAGCTTAGGAAGTGAGGCCTTGAGAGGATGAATATGATGGGCTTTAAGCTAGGCAATTAACCGATCACATTTAGTGATGTATTTGTCTTCTAGAGTATTAGTTTTTCTGCTATTTAAAAACCTTACTGAGTGTCTCAGGGTTTCTATTGCTGTGACAAAACACCATGACCAAAAAAGCAGGTTGGCGAGGAAAGGGTGTGTACTTGTCTTACACTTCTATATTACTGTTCATCATCTAAGGAAGTGAGAAGAGGAGCTCCAACAGGGCAGGACCTGGAGGCAGGAGCTGGTGTGGAGGCCATGGAGGATGCTGATTACTGGCTAGCTCCTCATGGCGTGCTTTCTTATAGGAGCTAGGACTATCGGCTGCACTACCCACAACGGGCTGGGCCCACTCCCATTAATCACTAATTAATAAAAGTCTTTCAGCTGGATTTATGGAGGCGTTTGTCTCAGTTGAGATTCCCAGGTAACTCACAGTTTGTGTGTCAGGTTGACAGAAGACCAGCCAGCACACTGAGACTGCTAAAGAGAGACATGTTTTAAGCTGTAGGTAATTTGAAAAACAGGCTTTATATTCTGTGTATATCTTTTTAAAATGATGAAAGTTATGTGAATAATGATTGTCATTGAGTTCCCAAGTGGGAAAATACGATTTCCTGTAAAGATGGACAGGTACTAAACAGTCCATCTTTTTAAACACATTTTTATTGTTGGAGGTTGATATTGTTCAAGGTGTGAGTAGTATGGTAATAAAGTTGGCCAGGTGTATGGCTGGTGAGGTGGCTCACTGGGTAAGGACACTTGCCACCGTGCCCGACAGCCTGAATTTCATCTCCAGAATGCACTCGATAGAAGGAAAAACCTGACTCTGGCAAGTTGTCCTCTGCCCTCCATCTGTTTGCAACAATGTGTGCTCCACTCACATTGTATGGTTCCCAGTGCACAAAAGAAAAGAAACCTTAAAAAGGTAAAATACAGTTAAACACCAATGTTCCCTTAGAATTACATAATTTCATGTTGATATTCAAAGTAGGTGTACCTACATAAAAAATAAAATAAAATATTCCAAGTACACAGTGAGATTGAAAAATACATAAAATAAAACATTCCAAGTACAAGTGAGATTGTTCAGTGAATTTGGGGAGGCCAGTGAAAGGAAGAGTTAGTTACAAGAAAAATAGTTGGTTCTCTACACAGTATATCAGCAGATTTCCTAGCTAAAATTGTGTGTATTGATTTGCATTTTTGGTTGGAAATATTTTTCCCCCATTGGTGGTGATAGAACCCAGGCTTTGAACATGCCATGCAAATGCTTTACTACTGAACCTACGTCCCCAGTCCTGCTTGGGAACCTTAAAGTACCATCCTAGGATTCTTGAATTCCCAAAAG